GACAGGCACGGAGACGACACGGAGAAGGCACGGAGACGACACGGAGACGACACGGAGACGTCACGGAGACGTCACGGAGACGTCACGGAGACGACACGGAGACGTCACGGAAACGACACGGAGACGTCACAGAGACGTTACTGCAAATACAAATACTGCCGAGTATTTTAGATCATACAACAAAGTCGTCGTCACATATGTGGAAATTCAGTCACTTCAGAACCAGGAATGAAAATGAACAGCACAAGGACCCCGCCCCCTCCCACCATGCCCCCCCCCCACACACACCCTCAACAGTGTTTCATGAACCTCATCAGAGACGGCAGGCAATGAATCCCAGCACACAGTGGAGAGAGGAGAACATTCCTCAGGGACAGAGAGCAGCAGTGTACACTGAGGTAAGAGTCCCACACACACACACACACACACACACACACACACACACCTGGGTGCACAACCTCAAAAGGATGGACTCTTTTTTTTTCAGGAAAAACTTGTTTGTTTGGTTTTTTTACAGCGAGGAGTTTAAAAAAAAAAAAAGAAGTCACTTTAGAGCAACACAGACACAGACACTCGTCCAACTGAGTGTGTGTGCGTGGGCCAGTGTGTGCATATTCAACGAGGGAGTGGGCAGCAGTAAATCAGAGAATTGGTTGAACAAACGCACAAGTGAAGAGGAGGAACTGGAGCGGGGGCAGGAAGGGGCTTTTAATAACCCTGGGAGACCTGAGGACGGGCTGGGTGGACGTAAGAGCAGCAAAAGTAGGCCAGACCCAGAAGAGTGTGTATTAGAGAATATTACTGTTGGTATTAACAGCAGGTGGGTCTGATGGTGGTGGCTCAACCTGCGGGGTGCAGCATGAACAGGCTCGCTGCCTCATGTACAAAGGTGGCACGTTTCTCTAGGTTCTGAGGACCACCACCTCCAGGAGGAGCACCACCTTCAGGAGGAGGACCACCTCCAGGAGAACCACCTCCAGGAGAACCACCTCCAGGAGAACCACCTCCAGGAGAACCACCTCCAGGAGGAGGACCCCCTCCAGGAGGAGCACTACCTTCAGGAGGAGGACCACCTCCAGGAGAACCACCTCCAGGAGGAGAACCACCTCCAGGAGGACCACCTCCACCAGGAGAACCACCTCCAGGAGAACCACCTCCAGGAGGAGAACCGCCTCCAGGAGGAGCACCACCTTCAGGAGGAGGACCACCTCCAGGAGAACCACCTCCAGGAGGAGAACCACCTCCAGGAGGAGGACCACCTCCAGGAGAACCACCTCCAGGAGAACCACCTCCAGGAGAACCACCTCCAGGAGGAGGACCACCTCCAGGAGAACCACCTCCAGGAGAACCACCTCCAGGAGGAGGACCCCCTCCAGGAGGAGCACTACCTCCAGGAGGAGGACCACCTCCAGGAGGAGCACCACCTCCAGCAGCGGCAGCACAGCAGATGTTGAAGGTGTGTGTGTGTGTGTGTGTGGAGCACGGCGGAGAGACTGACAACACACACACACACAGACACACAGGAGCAGCTCCACAGACCTCGGTCAAACCGCCGTGTTCGACCAACGCTCGTTAATCGGTCGTTTGAGAAGAATCGCTGTTGCGTAAAGACATGTGTCTCTGTCCGTGGTGCTGAATGTCTCGGCGACACGCCGTCGTCGTCCGCGCTTCAGTGGAGACCAACGCATGAACCGACGTGGACGCGGAGCAGCACATCACGGCACGGCCCGGTACAGAACGGAACAGAACGGAACAGGACGGTACAGGACGGTACAGGACGGCGGACAGAGTAAATGGGAGCTCACGTTGAAAGATGGAGAGAATTCTGCTGCTCGTCCTCAGCTGTTTCGCCGTCGCTCAAGTCACAGCGGGTGAGTTTGTGTTTATGAGCGATCACGGGGATGTTGTTGGGGCTGATGTGGAAGAGCAACAGCAGCCCGCGGTCCATCAGCTGACTCTCTCACAGCGCTGTTTTACCGCCTGGTTACACCGAGCACAGCGGCCACTGCCGCGGCAAGTGGCGGCGACGGGCTTGATTTTTAACCGACAGACTGTTGTGTTCGCAGCCGGGGGTGATGAGGGGGGGTCGGGCGGGGGGGGGGGGTGTTATGGCTGTGGAGGCATTTCACCCTGTGGTGATTAACGTGTCTGACAGACGACAGGTGAACTGGATGGTGATGCATGTGAGAAACTGTATAGACTCCTGTGTGTGCGTGAGTGCGTGCGTGTTTGATGTAAACCAATCTGACTTTGAGTCTCATTTTTAAGGCAGTGCCGTGAAGTGCACACGCAGAGACACACGGTCTCAGTTTGTGGTGGGCGACGTCGGCTCAGAGCCATGGAAACAGCAGTGAGGTGTGTGTGTGTGTTTCTATTAAACATGGCTTTTAGAGCCGACACACACACACACACACACACAGAGCCTGACTGTGTTGCAGCCACACTTTAGAAACACTGACAGTTTTTTTTCTTTCTCCTCTAGTGATTCCAAATGTAGATCCCTCTGTTCCAGAGTTAGGAACTGATGTTCAGATGGAACAGAGTCTGAGACTAGGATCACACTGGGGGGGGGCAGAGTCTGAGACTAGGATCACACTGGGGGGGGGGGAGTCGGAGACTAGGATCAGATTGGGGGGGGCAGAGTCTGAGACTAGGATCAGATTGGGGGGGGCAGAGTCTGAGACTAGGATCAGATTGGGGGGGGCAGAGTCTGAGACTAGGATCACACTGGGTCGTATCGTTGCCCCTGCATCGTGCAGGGTTGGATTGAATCAATCCTTCAAGTGATGAAAGTTCTGCTCCTACTGCTATGATGACAGTGTGTACAGAACACAGACCCTTTAAGACACACGTGAATGTGTTTTTTATGGGTACTTCACATTTGGAACATGATCAGCTAGGATTTACTCCGGCTGCCGTTAGTTTGAGACAGAATCAGAGTTCTCCAGTCAGGAAAACCAGGCCGTGTCTTTGATGAGGCGGTAAATTTATAGTACGGTGACGTCTTTACTGTGTCTGTGTTTATAGACAATCATAAACAGTCGGTTGATCTCAGGATGGAGAAGGAACGTTTGCATTTAAAATGTAAATGGACTCACAGACACATCCACTCAAATGAGGAACTAAATCCTTCAGGACATCCACCCTGGTTAGGACAGAAAAGAAATCAATGGATCAATAGACAATCAGAGATGAAAGAAAAAGAAGAAGAAGAGGAAGAAGAGGAAGAAGAAGAAGAAGAAGAAGAAGAAGGAGAAGAAGAAGAAGAGGAAGAAGAAGAGGAAGAAGAAGAAGAGGAAGAAGAGGAAGAGGAAGAGGAAGAAGAGGAAGAGGAAGAAGGGGAAGAAGGGGAAGAAGAGGAAGAGGAGGAAAAAGAAGAAGGAGAAGAAGACGAAGAAAAAGAAGAAGAAGAAGAAAAAGGAGAAGAAGAAGAAGAGGAAAATGGAGAAGAAGAAGAAGAAGAAGAAAAAGAGGAAGAAGAGGAAGAAGCGGAAGAAGAGGAAGAAGAAGAAGCAGAGGAAGAAGAAGAGGAAGAGGAAGAAGGAGAAGAAGACGAAGAAAAAGAAGAAGAAGAGGAAGACGAGGATGAAGAGGAAGAAGAAGATGAAGAGGAAGAAGAGGAAGAGGAGGAAAAAGAAGAAGGAGAAGAAGACGAAGAAAAAGAAGAAGAAGAGGAAGACGAGGATGAAGAGGAAGAAGAAGATGAAGATGAAGTTTCCAGGAGCAGCAGAGGTTTCTCTTCACATCATAAAACCAGGAAAACTAAAATCAAAGAAAGTTTGAACAGACAACTGATATCAGGAGTGAAGAACTGAGCCACGTCAGTAAACACGTCAGTAAACATGTCAGTAAACATGTCAGTAAACACGTCAGTAAACACGTCAGTAAACACGTCTTTAACTGTGGAGGAAGTACGTTCTTTTTACTCACTCACTGTGTTCAAAATAAAATCTGTGGTTTTCACAACATGTGGCTTAAAAAAGGGATTTAACAAGGAGTCAAAACGAGTCACCACTTTTTTAAATCAGCACAACTGCAGCTCACACTCCTCTCCACTCCACCGCCCCCCCTCCGCCCCCCCACCCCCCAGGGGCTCACGCTTCCTCACCATTATGTCATTAGGTTATTACAGTGTTCCTTCAAATGCAACGTCCCCATCTGCTGGGCTAACTGTACAAACGAGCGTTGACTGACTGTGAAAAAACGCGTGAGCGGAGCTGAGCTGAGGTCGCGGCCCGGCCTACAGTGAAACGCGGTGGTTCTCATGGTTCTCCTCCAGTCCAGAGACTCACTCATTAACATTCCAGGCAGCAGAACCAGCCCACGGGCTCCACTCTGAGAACTGCACCTCCAAGCATTAATACGATGGTATTAAAAAACTAAAACGCCCCCACGCAGGCAGATGGAGCGTGGACCCGTGTTAGCGCTTACGATTTCCCAAAGTCTGGGCTGCAGTCGACGCCGTCAGGCTGAATATTCAAGAAAGTCAGAAATCAATCAAGACTGAAATGACTGATCGATGAATAACGCGCTGGTCGGCAGGAGACGAGAGTGAAGACGAAAGAGAAACAAGAAGAGCTGCACATCAGTGAATTAACTGAAGTAATTATGGATCAACGATACACGACACGAAACGATTCACAATTTGTTTTTGTTCACGATATGATTTTATCAATTTTCTCTAAACCAAATGATCTCCTCTCTCTGTCAGAACTGGGTCAAATTTGTTCTTTGTATTTTGCATATTGGACGGAAAGAAATTATGTCTCAGATACTCTACATGTATGTGTTTATTGTGCCCCCTTCAGGCAAGAAGTCAGTTATGTTTGGAAACTGCTGTGTTGCATAAGATGTCATTAAAATGAATCAGGTGAACTTCACTTAGAGTTAAGAGGAAATATTCAAAACAGAGAA